TCTAAAACTCCCCACATGGAGGCGTAGAATTAGAAGCATCCTGAGGATGCCTGGTAGCTTTTGTTAATTTTCACCAACCAAAAACACCAGCGTCCTCCTCTTGAATAACCTCCCTCCCTCCGTTGAGCCAAGCTCCAACCCTTCCTCTTTCAAACCACGGCACTGGAGACTTCAGAGGCCAAAGAGCGAAACCTCGGGCCGCAGCGGCCGACGCGAGCGCCCGAGCGACGGCCGACGCGTTGCGCGCGCGGGCCCGGAGCGACGGAGCCGGTCCCACCGCAGTGGGCGTCATGGCAATGGGCGCCGCGAAAGAAGGACGAGAACGAGCCGGAAAACATGGATCAAATGGATCAAAAGGACTCCACGAGGCTGAACGTTGCACAACCTTTAAAAAGCACGTATGGGACCGGGGGAACAGATGTGATGAAGCAACCAAATTTCAAACGATTGTGGCGAACTCTTGCAAAGATTTCGCGTATATTCATAGGAAATTTGTACATAATTACCGAACCACAGATCAATTTTTTCTCTTAGAGAAGATAGAAGTGCACCCTCGTCAAGGTTGAACATGGCAAACATATGGACTCTGTATAATGTTCCTGAATGTTGTTAAATATACAAAAGTTCCTTTTTCCCGCTTCTCCTCCTCCTGTCCCATCCATTCGTCGATCGAGAACTTCCACCCAGCTTGAAGTCGGCTCAAACTACTGGTTCTCCGGAACCTCCAGCGCGTCTGACGCGCATCACTTCGGATTTGCTCATGGGAACCGGGAAGAAGCCACCTCTTCTCTATGGATTGATATGATTTTGACATGGATTGACCCGGATCACCTGATCCGCAACACCCTCAACAGGAGAAATGGCATGGCACCCAGATCACCGGTGGACCGGTTCGATCCGCTAACCGGTCCGGGCTCCAGGTGGTCACCCATCCTCAGGTCGGCCTCCAGGTCATACCAAGAGAGGTTGTTTTTGGCGACCTGAAAAATAGGACCCCACTGGGGTCCCCCCCAGTAGGGACAGTCGAAGGGGGGAACCTGAAGAACCTCTGTTGCTCTAGTTCCTTTTTTGCCGAACTTTTGCCCCAAAGGGCCTTCGTTCCGCCTTCCGTCGTACCTCTTTGTTCTCCCCCTCCTTGTGAGCCAAGCGGCTGTTCCGGGAAGCAAAAGGCTAGACCTCAAAAGCGACCCGGTCCGGATTGAAACGGCACGGCGTCTTGAGGGAAAGGCATGGAGGGAGTTTGGCTGCAGAACACACATCACTTGTGGGACTTAGACAGAACCAATTGGGTGTCCTATCATCAACCCCACAGGTAGGTGACCCAGGACGGCAATTCCGGTGCGTAACCGATGTGCTTGTGCAGTTCATCCTCAACAGCTTCGAGGTCGGTTTCTTCCCCTTCTGTCCCTATCCCCGTGACACGCATGGAACGAACCGACCCACAGAAACATGTCACGCGTAACGCGTAACGCGAACGGTTTGGACGAGCATCGACGACGGTTTGTGCACTCGACGGTTTGAGGCTTTCCCCAAAGGCCATAGAGCAAAGCAAAGAGGTGTTTGAGGCAGCTGAGGAAAGAGTTTGGCTTATATTCCAGCATCATCCAATACGTGTCCAAATAGACTACCCTAATTAATTACCCTACCTAGAGAAGCAAAACACTAACAATTTGTAGGCTCCTGGATGAAACATCGCTTTTTCTAGGGAAGATATGGAAAACATCGTCTTTTCTCGAAAAAAGATCGTCTTTTTGGTAAAACCACTGAAGAATAGCTCCGGCTACCATAAACAAACACCTGTCTGCCGGATCTTGCTTTCAGGTGAGTGCCGTGGGACCTTAATGGATCCGCAAGTCACCAAATGTCGAGCATTCTTCCGATTCTTCCATCTGTGTTGGTCATCTTAAATTAAATAGCCTTTTTGTGAATTTGGAGGGCGCCTTCACTGAAAACATAAGACACCGTATTTATCCCGTACGGAGCCCGTACTTAACCCGTACTAACCCATACGGAACCCGTATTTTCGATCTGCCCCAAAAAACATTGTGTTTTGAGAACCCATATTTAACCCGTACGGAACCCGTACTAACCCATACTAAACCGTACTAAAAATATGGCTTTTTTGCATCCCTGACAACCAGATGCCATTTGTGAGTTCTTAGGCTCGTAGCTGCATGTTGAAGGCTCACTCTCGATCCGGGTGAAAAGTGTTCTTGGTGAGGTCGACATTTGGTGACTTGTGTCCGAAATTCAGGTGCGTGCTGTCAGATCCAAAACACACATTTTGGAAAACATCGTCTTTTCCCAAAAAAGATCGTCTTTTTCTAATGTACTACGTTTTCTTGGTATCTTGTTTCCCTAGGTACTTGTAGGTCTCCAGACAGGGCACCATCATTGGAAGTGCTAGGTTTGCTATTTTCATTTTTTTTTGGTGTCAGCTTTTTACTTTTGGATTCTTTTTTTCCCGAGAGCGCCCGAGCGAAACCGGTGCACGACATATCGTCTATATATACATATCTTACATGTGGCACATATATAGAAAGGAACCGGCCCATATGGCATGACAACCAACACACGAACCGTCAACTGGTCGAAGATGAACCTACCAATTCCATGTGCTCCCTTTGGAGGCCATCACTAGATCGTTGGAGGCACATCGCTATTAGGATGGAGGCGACATGGCCATTCCGTGAGCTCCCTCTGCCTCCCTCCGGCCTCAACTCCGCGCCGACCGCGTCCCAGCGACGGAGCTCCGTGCTGCGCTCCCGCCGGAGCTCCTCGGCCAAGGCCAGGAAGGGCTCCATGTCGCCACGGGAGCCCAACGACCTGAGGGGCCCCCGAAAAGGCATCCGGTGTATTCGCCGCATCTGCCGTGGGTTCTGATTTTATCATGATTTCACGACCAAAATAAAGCACCAGGTCAACCGATGACGTCAGTCGCACTGGTGTTCCAGGCCACGGACGCTCCGCTCCGCACCGCTCTCGACCGATGATCCGCTCTCGACCGTCCGACGCGCCGGGAGACATCAGCAGGATCCGTTCGGCGCCATCGCTCGACGTCGACGTCTGCGCCATGGCGGCGAGGGCGAGGGCGAGGTTTGCCGCGATGAAGTGGGGGGACCGGGGGGGACAGCGGGGGTGACACCGGGTGGGAGCAGCAAGCAGTTGGAGGAAATCAGAGATGTTTCCTCAGTGCCAAGTCATTCTCCCAAGCAGCTGGCTGTCGAACTCTCTGGGCTCTAAGTTCCGGCTCTCCCTGGAATATGGAGACCCCCGAAGGCGACCTCATCCGTCGCTCCCTAGCAACAGCGATTGCTAGGTTCATGAAGGTGCGATTGCCAACCACCCATGTATCCAAGAGAGGTGGAACAGCCCATCCGGTCGCCCATCCCATATGTACCACTACTGTACACCCTAGGCTTCCAACAACCATTAATTTAATAGGCTTTAAACCGAATCAACTAAGGATCTTACACTACAAAAACCAGGTCAATCATTTTTTAAATGGTCGAACGGAAGCCTAGGGTACAGGGTCCCGGTCCAGGTCTCTCAACCTGATCTTGGTGAAATGGGAGGAGAAGCATCCGACTGTCGGGGCACCTCACCCCAGTGAGAGCTGCTCGTCGTCGTGTTGGTGGTGTGGTGGTGGCTTCCTCTTCGACCAGTTGACAGTATCGGGCATGCCTGCTGTGGCACATCCTGGGAGGCAAAGTGCTGCTCTCCAAATAGATAGTTTGAACTTCCAAGTTTCAACACATTGTTTTAGGGGATTCACAACATTATTGTATAATTAGATGGCTTCTGTCTTTCAACTCTATTTGCGGGTTAAGCTGCACCTTCGCGGGTTTTGTGCACTGGCCATCTTCCCCTAAAAGCTTTCTTGAGCACTAAAAAGGCCCCACTGCTGTGGATGCCGCGGTCGACCCCGCGTCCGTCGGTCGACCCGTCGCCTTCGTTTTCGGCCTTTTTCCCGGTTCGTGCTTCGTTTCCGGCGGATCGGTGGACCGTTTCAGCTGGAGATCGTGGGAGGGTGAAGCATCCAATTTTCTGCTGTTCGACCTAAGACCAGGAAGACGGCCCCACAAAAGGTTGTTCTGCATTGACGGCCCCACATTCCCTCCTTGGGAAGGATTTGTTGATCCTTCTCTCTTGGGGAGTCCCCTCCTTGTTCTGCAATCTAGGGGACAATGCGTCAGGTCCAGTACTGAGGGATCAGTTCGAAGCCTTCGAGCTTCATCGATGTGTTGGCTGATCGGGCGAAAGCAAAAGAAATGCGAATGTGTTAAAACAACCCATCACCTGTCGACGCTCCGTTCACACCCCGACTGGTCCCGAACCAAACCAGAGGGATTGGTGAGAACCCCCAAACAACAACTCCAGAGGGTTCGGGCCCAACAACGGGTCGCGTCTGGGCATGAACCAAGAACCTGTCGGTCACTGCTCGACCGATCACCTGAGCCAGACCTCCGACCCCTCGCACCAGTGGGAGCAACCCGCCCGATCGGAACCCGGATCCCTGTCTTTGGTGTGTGTTGATAGGAAACACATGGAACAAAAACCCATGTTTTGGGTGGTGGGTGGTCCAAACTCGAGGTCATTCAGGTTCTAGGAAGGAACGGAACACCACTGCTGGGGCGGATGAAAGAACTTCTCAATGCATGATGTTCTCCATCGGTGCCACTGCACATCCATAAAGACCCCCTAGCCTAGTCCAAGACCCTTGAAAAACAGGTTGACCTAGTTCTGCAGGGTAAAATCCTTAATCCCCAAGGATCCTTGGACCCTCCTTAGAAGGGGTCGAACCCTCTAGTTCAGGGGCCCCTCAAAACCCTTGTTTTGTTTCGGGTGCGGATCCTTAGGGATAGTAAAAACCATGCGGGCAGGTAGACCCGCGGGCCATGAATCCTGGCAAACCCACTCCCCAACTACCGCTTGGACCGAGTCGATTCCGAGGCGACCGGCCGCGCGGAGTCACTGTCGCGCGCCACTCGCCGGGCGTCAAAAAGACACGGCCGGGCGCAGCGAGTGCCATGGACACGAGCGCCATCATGACCTGGTGCGCAGCTGGAGCCAGGTAGAGTAGGGGGGAAGTTCTATGAAGTTCGACATATCAGCAGGAGATTGCAAGACCTCCAAGTTGGTAGTTTTTCTATTCATCACTTCTGCCGTCCAGGAGTCCAACCTGCGACCAACTCCTCTTTCAGTCACTCTGAAAGGCACGATTGCACATGGACCATCTGTTGAAATGTGGTCCTGGCCACACCACCAACAACTTACACGCTCGCCAAAGCAATGCCCCTGAAACCAGGCACTCTTTGTTGGAAGCTACTCGGTGGAGGCCATCGCTACTAGGGTGGAGGGCATGGCTACTAGGGTGGAGGCCATCGCTACTAGGTGGAGGCCATCGCTATTAGAGTGGAGGCCATTCCTATTAGGCTCCTGTGGCCACTAGTAACAAGAAGCTACTAGAATACCCTGCAGATCTTTATCAACAGCAAGTGCCCGGTAAACTGCGCTTTTTCCCCTGCATTGAATCGCTTAAGCAACAAAATGCCCCCACCGCACCAGAGCACTGGGCCAGAGTCAATCCCCGGACTTTTGTGAGGAATCCATATCAATGAGAGCTTCCACCCTGACGAAGTACTGGCAGAACTCTCACCCGAAAGTGAGACAAGTGAAGCGTGAAGACACACCTTGAAAGTACATGTTCGGAACTGTGTCTTGGGAATTGAAAAAGCTACAAGCATGATCCAAAAGACTGGCACAGCAATTTCACACCCAAAGGCTCGATTCTTTGGTGAGTCCGTGTACTGTGTCTTTTGTGAGTCCTGCCCAAGAACCAAATCCAATCGATCTCTTTGAAGATCAGTTGAAGCGTTATTCCCACCAAACGCAACCCTGGACCCTCCGTTATGGGTCGTACCCTCATACGGAGGGGTCCAGACCCGAGGGACGAACCAATCCCTATGGTTTTGAGGGACTGGTCGGCCTGGTCGGCCACGGAGCGTCTGGGCCATCCAAAAAGCGGGAAGCATGAGGGTGGAAGCAGTCCCCTGCGCTGGCGCAGGGCTTCGCGTCTCAGAATCTTCCAGGACTTGATCCGTGCATATGGTTTCAGGGGTGTTTGCCTTGGACTTGCCCCAAGCTCTGGGAGTTGTTTCTATTTTTTAAAAGGGTGTTTTTGGAGTGCTGGCTTTAGATCGAGCTCAGCCATAGCTCAGCCTCTTCACATCCCAAATTCATCGATCGTTATCGCCTCCGCGTGGCGAATCACCTCCGGATCCCTCCGGATCCCACCCGCCAGCCGCATCCACCGACCGCACCTCGACGGAGCGGCCGCCGCGGTCGACGAAGTCGCCGTTGAAGAGAAACCTCGGACCGACCGGGTGGCGCGCTTCGAAAGTGCGCTCGGTCCAAGCCTCCGGGTCTCCAACCGTTTCGGTCCAAAGCAATCCTCGACCTACCAGGAGCCCGAATCAAACCATGAAAACAACGGTTTTCATCTACAAAACCCATGCTTTTTGCTAGGGAAAACCTAGGTGTTTGATGGTTTGTGGGGCCCCTGGTAACCTAGTTGATCTAGTAGGTTGGAGGCCATCGCTCTTCGGGGAGGCCATCGCTTTGAGGTTCTTTTCTGGTGGAACTCCTGAGTCAGCTGCTCTGCCCAACAGCTCCGCGCCGCCCAAGAACCGTTCCACTCAACGCCAAGGGGCATGTTGCTCTGGCTGGGGAGTCCACCTCAGTCGCCCACCATGAGTTTCATTGGCTGAACTCTGAACAGCCATGGGTTTACCAAGGATTTTACACTAAAAAACACGTCACGGCAGGTCAGTCATTTTTGTTATCTGGTTGAACGGAAGGCGACGGCGGCTACCAGGCACACCCAAAGAATTCTGTTCATTCGTCCCCCACGCACGGTGTGGGAAGATGCACCATCTGAGGTGGTGAGTGTATGAGTCGCTGGTATGGAGCCTGTGATCATGATCCAAAAAACCTTCGGGCTGACTACTCGACTGGTTTCCCTATATCATGCTATCTGAACGATTCAGGGACTGATAACTATTTGGTATGAACATGTACCTAGCACTGCCAATGGGTGCCCAATGGAGACCTATGAGTAGGGTAGGGTCTATTGGACACCCAAGCAGGATGATCCTGGTAGGAAATAGAACACACGATCCAAGTTTCATCCGGGCTTTCCACACCTACCACCTCCGATCGGATGAGTTCCATGATTGCGTAACCCATGGATGGTCATCACTTCCTGCAGCATCATTCAATCGTGGAGTGAAAACCACGCGCCTTTTTGGTATATACGGATTTCATAGGATTTCATGGTCATCCGAAAAAAGAAAACGGAGCCATGTCTTCCCATCCACGTATAACCATGAGGACGTTCCAGAGAGTGTACTCAAGAAGACCACCAAAGAACCCCCGGGAAGAGCAAAGACCAACATCCATTGGGCCATCACTCCCAGACTCGACCAATGGGACTGGCATATTATAGAGTGTCCCACAAAAGTGACATACAAGAGTATCCCACAAGAGTGTAACAAACAAGGGTGTCCTGCAAGGATGTCTGACAAGAGTGTGCGTCCTACGAGATTGTCCGACAAGAGTTTTCCACATAAGAGCGTCCCGCAAGAGTCTTCCGATCAGCTTAGGGATTGATCGACTCCGAGGTGTTGATTGAACCCTACACTGCATCTGGTCATGGCTTGCTGCTGGGTGAAGCTTTAAGAACAGCTTCAGGATGCCCACAAGCTCGGCTTGGTTCACTTTCTCAGCTGTTCGGAGGCAATGTATCAGCATAGCTCTGTTGGGTGGGTGGCGTAAACCCTCAGTGCACGCATCCATCCACATTTGTGCAACATCGCGCGCCTTGTCAGCGCGCAAAAGAGCCTCAGCTTTCTTCTCGCTACTGTACATCTGCCGAAGTTCCTCATAGTTCCCCAAGCAGTGTGGGCACACTGAGGGTTCTTACGGTAGTGGAAAAGCAGGTGTGCTTAGATCGCTGTGCGTCGCGGCCGTGTCCGGCTAATTCGTTGCTATTTACAGTGCACTCATGCCTCGCGACATCGTCCATGTGCATTTCAACTGCGCGGGCTCGCAGAATCTGGGTGTCTGCGGCGGGTGCTTCTAACGACTGCGCTTCCGTTGTGGTGCCGTGCGCATTTTCGCACATGGTGATCACTTTTCGTGGCAGGCGCAAGGGAAACCTCGTGTTTTGGTGCTCCAAATTTTCGTGACAGGTGCAAGGGATCGGAGCTGTTTTACTTCGAAATGCAATTTTCGTGGCAGGTGCAGCACTTTGGACATGGTGGTGATCGTCGAGGAGCTCAGATTTCGTGACGGCAGTGAATCGTGACTTTTGGACATGTGGCTCGATTGCAGATTTCGTGGCAGGCACAGCACTTGGCGCTGCCAGTATCCGAACATGGCTAGGAGCATACCCAGCGGATCGAAACCATCGTCCGCTAGTGGACGGCTTGGGGTGCAAGAGGCTTTCAGCGTCTTCCACGATTCCATCCGTGTGACCAGCAAGGATGCTCTCCCCGCCAGCCATCGAGTGGGCGTGGGCTTTCTCTCTGTGGAAGTCCTGCAAATCAAGCAACATTTCCAGCTTGCGTAGCGCTTCTGGATGGAAACGGTTTTCGTAGCGGAACGAGATCACCTGCTGCACTCGACGAGCTACTCCATCCATAGTGTCGTCATCGAGAAGAGACTCTACGATGCTACAGAGTGAATTCTGCCAGCGCTGCAACTGATAGACGAACTTGCCCTCCTTATTGACGAAAAAGTCCGAACCCAGCATGTCGATTGGTTCGTTCACCTTGGAGTACTTGATAGATCTTTCATCCAAGGGAGACTTCCAGTTTACTGGGTGAACTGCCTTCGAAATAATTTCAGGCGTCGGTACTGAGCCAGTCTCATCGTCGCCATAATTCACAGCGTGCACGGCCTTTTCATACCAAGGCCCAAGCTCAGGGTCGACGACTTCGATACAACCATTCTTCAGAGCGTTGTCAGCCTCACGGGCTTTACCGTTTTGTTGAGAGGTCCGAAGCGCGCCAGTCTGAACTGTCGAATTTAATTTTTGTGCCAAAACTTTGTTGCCAATGACATACACCGAGTCCAACATACCCCACGTAAAGGCGCAACAGGCCAGGGCCCAGACGTCAAAATCTCCCGGCGATGATGTCATCAGCTGTTCCATTCTGCACGGTGCTGAGCTCAAAAAGTGAATTTTGTTTGAACCTCGAAGTATAGATTTCGTGGCAGGCACAGCACTTGGTGAACCTCGAAGTGCAGATTGTGGCAGGCGCAGCAGTTGGTGAACCTCGAAGTGCAGATTTCGTGGCAAGTGCAGCACTTGGTGAACCTCCAAGTGCAGATCTCGTGGCAGGCACAGCGCTCTGTGACCCTCGAAGTGCAGATTTCGTGGCAGGTGCAGCGCGTGGTGAACCTCCAATGCAGAGTTCGTGGCAGGTGCAGCACTTGGTGAACCTCGAAGTACAGATGTTGTGGCAGGCACAGGAGGTGGTGAACCTCGAAGTGCCTGAAGTCTGCGTCAATCTCATCCAGGCTGGGGCATCCTGGTTGCTGCAAAAGCTGTCTTGGGCGCCAGTGACTGCATGCTGCAATTTGTGGCCCTATGTGGACCTTTCATATCCTTTCATGGACCAAAGATGACCAAAGCCAGCAGAACTACATGGCACATCATGGCACTATATGGCACTACTTTCTCCGCGCATAGGGGATGATAAGGGTACCTCACACCACTGCTGGCCTGATCCCCCATGCCGACGGGGGATCAGGTTTGTGTGGCATTGATGATCTGGATCAATGTGGCTGCGTGTGGCTGCTCTGCCAAGAAGGCCAAAGCCCCTGTGTTGACAGATGACTTGGCCTGATGATTGAATGTGTGTGTGTGGCTGATGACCTGAGAAATTGGGAGTCAGTGAGCATTGTCACATGTGGTCAATCATACACATGATATGACAGTGTAGAGCTTTGCGGGCTATCCAAAGAAAAGACTGCGGATGACCTATTTTATTGCCAAAACTAACTGTCGTCAAGAACAGCGCTTTAACAAGTATTGCCTTTTTGTAGCATTTGCTCGAGAAACAACGCGTGACTGCAAAAACAAGATAGCCAATAAAACCCAGTGATCGATAGCAGCGATAGGTGACTGCCTAGTGCATACAGAGAAATACACCTACACAAGTGCGCTGCTGGCTGCCACCGTCCGATCTAAGAAAATTTATCCTGTCTTTTGGGCCTGTGGCCAACAAAGTACAATTGGCCCACCCACAGCCCAGAGATGTCCTGGACCAGAGACAAGGCGCAGGCCGGGGATACGAACGGCAAGGTGGCATTTTGGAAAAATACATACCGACAAGAGACCCCAAACAGTGTGTGTGAGGTATGTAAGAAAAAAGTCTAGAGATCTAGATGCATTGGGGTTCAGAGAGGTGATGGTGGTGATGAGGTGAAGGTGGGTGTGAGTGAGTGTGGGTGAGCGGGAGTGTGAGTGAGAGTGGGAGAGTGAGTGTGAGTGCGAGTGTGAGAGTGAGTGTGGGTGAGAGTGAGAGTGAGTGAGGGTGTGAGTGTAAGTGAGCGTGAGTGGAGAGTGAAGGTGGGTGTTAGTGAGTGTGGGTGAGAGTGAGTGTGAGTGAGTGGGAGTGTGAGTGCGAGTGTGAGTCAGAGTGATTGTGCGTGAGAGTAAGTGTGCGTGAGAGTGAGAGCGTGAGGGACTGTGAGTGTGAGTGAAAGTGGGAGAGTAGGAGTGTGAGGGAGTGTGAGTGTGAATGAGAGTGGGAGACTGAGTGAGTGCGAGTTTGAGTGAGAGTGAGAGTGAGTGAGCAAGAGTGAGTGTGAGTGTGAGTGAGTGTGAGTGAGAGTGAAGGTGGGTGCGAGTGAGTGTGGGTGAGAGTGAGTGTGAGTGAGGGTGCGAGAGTGAGTGGGTGTGAGTGCGAGTGTGAGTGAGAGTGAGAGTGAGTGTCGGTGAGAGTGAGTGTGGGTGAGTGAGTGTGCGTGTGAGTGTGAGTATGAGTGGGGGTGCGAGAGTGTCCTGGGCATTCTGAAGCGGCTGGCTTACAATAGGTTGAATGACAACATAGAAGCGCATCAAAAAGCAGCTGCTCAAGTAACATTTGATTTGTGGCGCTTTCCTACACTCGCTTGTCTAATTTGTTGACCGTGTCACCCACATGCCTCACAGACCTGGGAGATGAAAGAGTTATTTACCAAGGCAAGCAGCTCTGTACTTGATTGTTTGTGGAGAAAAACGCACTGTCAGCACATTTATCATTTTAGTATATTTTAGTTGTGTTTCCACTTGCTCTCAGACTTTCTATGCAGCACAAACGCGGGGTGCAGAGGAACAGCTGACGTCATCATTTCATGAGGCTTTGCTGAGGCTTGTTGTCGCTTGGTTGACTGGTTCCCTACCTAATTTCAACGTGCATGTTTAGGAGAAGTTTGCATACAGTTTATGCGTTTTGATCCTGACAATTCTACATCTTGAGCTTGGCCATTAGCAAGTCCTCTTCTGAAGCGAAACTGCACTGCTTTCCTTTTGCGCAGCGCCACCCACCGTTCACGCACACGCGTTGTGTTTGTGCACAACACCTCTTCGCGCACAGGGATGCAGGATCCCAAGACACAGTTTACATCCGGTCCAAAAGGTATTGATTCTGCAGTGGGATGTTTCGCTAGCTGCATGTCTCACGGACTCCAACTCCAGGTCAGGCTCCTCTGCGTCCATATCTTCCTCGTCTACTATCGGGAACACTCCGTTTGACCCGGGGATCGTGTCGCCATGCCTATATAAAGGCACTCCATCGATTATGAACCATGGCACGCTGTCGTCTGGATCTCTCGTCGCCTTCTTCCACGTCAGCCATAATTCTCCCCTCAATGGAGACCTGAAGCTAATGGTGGGGCTCAAGTTCGCGCCCTGGATCTTTGCCGGCCCCCCCAACACCTGCACCATCTTCTTCGCCCAAAGCTCCACGAGCCTGTCCTCCGCGCAGTCTCTCACCAAACTCCCTAACACCCGGGAGCTTCTCCACGGCCTCGTCGGGGTCCTTCAAGCCTCCCAGGGCCAGGCCTTCTCGCAGCTCCCTGAAGTCCTGCTCCGGGACCCTGCCTTCCTGCCTGGGTGGTCCAGGTCTTTCTCTAGCTCGTGTTTGTTCTTCTTCACATCACCGATCCTGGTCCCTTTGAGCCTTCTCTCTTCATTAGCAAGCCACCCTTTCTGCACCTCGGACACGGTCTCACCCTTGTTCAAGACTTGGTAGCGCCACCACTCCAAGTTCAAGGATCGTTTCCAAACTGACACCACCAGTTTTGCAACTTTATCGCACAAGGCCTTGGGATACCTCTCTGCCGGGTCGGCCTTTGCCAAGTCCACGTGTGACTGGTGTTTAACCCACGAGGCAACGAAGGTTTGCAACCTTGAGAGCTTCTGTGGAGTTCTACTTTAGGATCGGGTTCTGTGTCGCTCACGTGGCCAGAGTTTCTCAGTCAAGTGTTCTCAAGTCGCACACAGGTGCCACAAGCCAAGTGAGTCTAGATATGCACCTTTTGGAAGTGCGGCAGCGCAAGAGCAATTGGGGCAAAAGGTCATGGCGCAGGTGGGGAGGCACACCCTTTAGTTTGTCCAACATGCTATGCAGGCCCCACCAACAAAAGACAGCCCGTGCCACGTGTGAGAAACATCCTTGACAGAATGCAATTTCAAGGGAAGGTGCACAACAGTAGTAGTAGTAGTAGTAGTAGTAGTAGAAGTAGTAGTAGTCGTGGTGGTGGTGGTGGTGGTGGTATGTAGTATGTAGTAGGTAGTAGTTAGTAGTTCGTAGTTCGTAGTTCGTAGTAGTAGTAGTAGTAGTAGTAGTAGTAGTAGTAGTAGTAGTAGTAGTAGTAGTAGTAGTAGTAGTAGTAG